GGGTTCATGAGGGAGGGGCCAGTAGGGAGGGAGGGGGAAAATGAGGAGCCAATATTAGGGGCTCAAGTAGAAAGCACACATTTTGAGAATGATGATGGCAACAAATGTACATATGTGCTTGACACAATGGATGGATGGATGGATGGATTGTGATAACCATTGTACAAGCCCCCAATAAAATGATTTTTTTTTAAAAAGCATCCCAGCCTGGTCCAACTAAAGTTCATAGGCATGGTATTAGCCAGGCAACCTCTTCAGAATCATGTAACTGCCAGAGGATAACACTGAAGGGTAAAATGGGAAGCAGGGCCATCACATCACAGGCCTGCAGCTTCAGAGTCACGTGGATCCAAGTTCTGGGGAAACATGGCAGGGCACCAATAGCTCTCAATTTCCCCATGAAGCCATCACTGGAGGCAGCACAGAGTCCCAGAGAGCAGGATGGTCAATGGGCTAAAAGAAGCAGCTTCCTATAGCTTTCCCTTTTCTATAAGGCCACCCCCCCAAGGAGGTGTCATCAGGCTACCACTTTATTGGCAGGTTGGGCTTTGCATACAGGTATCACCAAAACCAAAAACCAAACTCAAGCTGCCATCAAGTCGATATCAACTCATAGCAACCCTATTAAACAGTGCAGAACTGCCCCTCTTGAGTTTTTAAACCTGTAACTCTTTACAGGAGTAGAAAGCCCACCTTTCTCCATGGGGCTGGTTGTTTTCAACAGCTAACCTTATGCTTAGCAGCTTGAATTTTGAGAAGTATTATCAAGTTGACATAAAATCTAACTGCCACAAATGGTTTAAATTGAGCTTATTTGTTTGATATTGATACTAAACAAACATTCATTACTACACTGATACATGAGGGCTCAGAAAGTGGCTCCTGTTCATTCAGGTTTGAATTTCATATGCCTTCAAATTAACTTAAAAGTGGATATACACTTGATTTGGGGCACTTTCTGAAAACTGAATACTTCACTCAGTTTTTTCTTTCTAAGATCATCTTATTGTGGGCTCTTAAAGCTCTTGTAACAATCATCAATTGTGTCAAGCATATTTGTACATATGTTATCATCATCGTTTTCTAAACATTTACTTTCTTTTTAAAAATTTATTTAATTTTATTATTAAATGATCATTTTATTGGGGGCTCTTACAGCTCTTGTAACAATCCATAAATCCATCCATTGTGTCAAGCACATTTGTACATATGTTGCCATCATAATTTTCAAAACAGTTTCTATTTGAGCCCTTGGTATCAACTCCTCATATTTTTTCCTCCTTCCCCCACTTTCCCTCCCCCATGAACTCTTGATAATTTATAAATTATTATTATTA